ATGAAGAGAGATGATGGTTTTTCCTCTACACCCTTAGCTAACAGCCAGTGGCTCTTAGCTAAGGCTGTAGTGCAAACTCATTCATCTCTCTCTAAGTGGTCTTGGTGCCAATAGATGGGACAGAACACCACAGCCTGTCAAGTGGTGTGGATAGAGGTCAGGGGGGTAGTCACAGGACTGGGAGCAGGGGTGTTGGATGGGGTGGGGTCCTGCAGGACCTGTTGGGGGTGAGGGTGTGTATAGGGGTTGGGGGACTGTCAGGGGACTGGGAGTGGGGGTGTGGATAAGGGGTAGGTCCTGGGTGGTGGATAAGGGGTAGGGGGTCCTGGGATGGGGCGGTTGGATGGGTCAGGGGTTCTGGGATGGGAAGTGGGAGGGGGCAAATAGGGGGTGAGGGCCAGGCTGTTTGGGGAGGCACAGCCTTCCCTACCCGGTCCTCCATACAGTTTTGCAACCCCAATGTGGCCCTCAGGCCAAAAAGTTTGCCCATCCCTGGACTAGACTATAAACTCCTAATTCTCCCACCATAGCCTGAAAAATTTAGTTTGAACCTCATTATTTTCATCTGGCAGAAAGTGTGGTTTGATTTGTGAATGCTCTCCAGACCCATCCCCTGGAATTTTCTGAACATTGGTGTGAACTCTTCTGTTTTGTGTTTTAGGGGTTATGGAACTGTCTGCCAGGAGTGGGCTCTGGGCCTTTGCCTTCTTCTGCCATGTAGGAATCCTGGTCTCCTCAGGTAAGCAGGATCTTGACCTGGATCCCAAGTCACAACCTTCTCTCTGATCTTTACCTTAGCCACGTGGTGGGAGAAGGGGCCACTTCTACCCACGAACCATGTGAACAGAATCACAACAGCGCCACCAAGGCAGGTGGGAGGGAACAAGAGGACTGAATTCACATAGAAATAGGGGTTGTTCATGAGACGGCTCTTGCACTGCTGTATGGTTTGAATGGCAGCACTGCATAAGAGCAGAAGTCCAGGGAAGAAAGGAAAAGAGGAAAATAATTTGATCCACATCATGAAGGGCAGTAGAAGAATGGAAGTGAATAATTATAGAGCACAGGCCCTTTGGGTTAAGGAGGAGGCTAATAGTAAAATTTGTGGGGTGGGATTGAAGCGATTAAAGAGTCCTGGAGGATAGGAAATCAAGGCCACTTGCTCAGGCAATTTAGAGACAAAGGGGAAAAAGGAGATGAAGTAGGGATAGCTCAGTGGTTTGAGCATTGGCCTGCTAAACCCAGGGTTGTGAGTTCAATCTTTGAGGGGGCCACTTAGGGATCTGGGGCAAAAATCAGTACTTGGTCGTGCTAGTGAAGGCAGGGGGCTGGACTTGATGACCTTTCAAGGTCCCTTCCAGTTCTAGGAGATGGGATATCTCCATTATTTCTTGGTTGGTGAAATAGAAGGAAGGTTTCTTAGGGCTATGGAGAGCAAAGAAGAAAGGAGCTGTAGGAGAAAGAGAGGTTGTAAACAAGAGATCCGGGGGGTGGGAGGTGATTTTTTTAAAATGTATTTCTACCAGAATGGGAGTGGAAGGGATAATTTTCCTTGCATATATTTATTTAGGTGAAACAAACAAGTAAACAAAACCCACAAAAACATAAAACAATATACACTTCTACCCTGATATAATGTGACCCGGTATAACACGAATTTGGATATAACGCAGTAAAGCAGCGCTCGGGGGTGGGGTGGGGGGGAGAGGCTGCGTGCTCCGGCGGATCAAAGCAAGTTCAATATAACACGGTTTCACCAATAATGCAGTAAGTTTTTTTTTTTTTTTTTTTGGCTCCCGAGGACAGTGTTATATTGGGCTAGAGGTGTACTATGTTAGGCCCAAGTGGTGGTGTAAGATATCAAGAACTAAAGCTGATCAAACTGTTTGTCCCTAATGTAGGTCCCTTTCTGATCAGATCCATGCATCAATCCTGTTCTGTAGTAAGGTTGAAGCAAATAATGTACATGCAAACAAACTTTTGACAATTTGTTGTGTGATTGGTCGCTTAACTCACGTGCTATTGTTATTGCCTACTGATGTTGCGAATGAAATCTTTACACGGGAGAATAATAGACTGGTAAATAACCAGTAACGCACCTCTACTGTGAATTTTCCGATGAGTGCTCACTTATGTTAAAATTCATGACGCTTTCAGGCTTCACAAACATTTTTGCAAATGCCTGGCACGTGTTTGACTGAATTTTACCCCATGAATACAAATGGCCCAAACTCTGTGCTTTTATTCCTGAAAATCAGTAGTGAATGAATTTTCTCAATATTTCTCCATCTTTATCAAGAACCTTAATTCTTTACCAATCACCCATTCACCTCGCACCTGGACATAGATCATAAATACACCTGGCTCAGGAATCACATGGCTTATAGTATTGTTGGATTTGGGCTATGGAGCCTTTTACTCCTAGGACATTAGTTCCAAATTGGGATGAAGAGGTGGGAGTGAATTTGACAGAGGATCACCCAATAAATTTTACTCCATGTATCTCCTAAATGGGACAGAGAGGACATTTCCCTGTTCACCGTCATTGTGAGTCTCTTAAATCAAGACAGGTGCTGAATGGAGTCTCTAGGAAATGTTTGCAAATACAGGGCTCGATCCTGAGAAGTGCTATGTGCACTTGCTGGGGGATTGTCCAGTGCTCTTGGCTCCCCATTTTAGGATTGGGGCATACTGGTTAGTGTGGCTGGGTGGGAGAGACACGTTAGTGAGCAGGAAATCTGCCTGGACCATGGTAGTGGTAACAAAGATGGTGAGAGTTGTGAGTGGTGATGTATGGGCTGTTGACAGTGCTGCGAGTGATGCTGGGTAGGGCTGGTGGTAAGCAGTTCTAGTATTTCAGGTTATTATGCTGTGTTCTTTCCCAGTGCTATCAGATTTAAAAGGAGTAGCTCCCACTCTACCTGCTGGATGCTTGGGTTGCCCAGGATGTTCCTCTGCATGATTTCCCCCTGTGTAATGGTGGTCATAGTCTCCTTTGTCACTGTTGGAGTTTTGGTTTTTGGTGATGAAGATGGTTGGTAGTAATAGCGAGGAGAACTACAGTGATGGGAATGCAGATGGTTATAATCCAGAATGTGGTGGAGGTGGGGTTTGGCGATGTTGGAACTGAATAGACAATAAGGTGCTGGTGTAATTAATACCTTTCATGATATCCCTTTCAGAAAGCTTTACCCTGAAAGGATCAGATTCTCCAGTGATTGCCACAGTTGGCACAGATGTCATCCTTCCATGCCAACTTTCAGCTAGGACCGATGCCAAACAGATGGAAGTGAGATGGCATAGCAGTGAGATTCCTGGCCTAACACATCATTATGTAAATGGGCAGGATGCCCCGCAGAAGCAGAACTCACACTACCGGGGAAGGACAGAGCTGTTCAAGGAGGAGCTTCCCAATGGCAATGTCTCTCTACTGTTAAAGAAGGTTCAGGTGGCAGATGGAGGCAGCTATGTCTGCTTTGTTGGCAACAAATTGAATTATTTGGAAGGCCTTGTGGAGTTAAAGGTTGGAGGTAAAGTAGGCTCTTGTTGTCAATGAATTGCTTTTCTGTTTTAGCAGGTGACATGTCCTTCACTTACATGTATCCCCCGCAAACACACACACATTTTCCTCTGGCATTCTTTTGTTTCATTTCAAATCTCTGCCAGATACCTAAGCAGTTATTATCCACCTCTAGTCACCCAGGTGCCATGGCAGCTGGCAGCAGTTACTGAGAGGCCTTGGTGACTGGCTGTGGCTACAGAGGGCCATGATGTTCCTCTGCTGGCTACACATTATCACAGAGCATCAATGCACATGTTAATGATACCAACATGGTGAATCCTTTCCCTCCCAATGGGAACAAAGTAATGGTGTTTCCATGTCGAGTAAGCTAATATTGCTTGGTTTGCTTTGACACAGCTGTTGGCACAGGCCCCACAATCTCTGTGCACCGTTCCCAGGACCAGGCAGTGACACTCACTTGCAGTTCAGAAGGGTGGTATCCGGAACCAGCAATACTTTGGACCGACAGGCATGGTCAAAGACAGAACTCAACTATGTCATCTGTAAAAGATGTTCAAGGTTTACACAATATTCACAGTCACATGGATGTGAAAGATAACAAGAACCAGGTCCTGGTGTGTCAGCTCCAAAGCAACTTCTGGGACCAGACAAGACAGTCGGCGCTGCAACTTTCCAGTAAGGCTATCCTGTTCCAAAGAGTTTGTCTGGGCAGTAGAAGACCGGGTAATGGTTTGCCGGACATAAATGGTTGGACATAAATGGTTAGGGCAGGACAGAACCACAGAAAGCAGGAGCTTTACAGTGTGCCTTCTTGGAATTTCTAGTCCCTCTGAACATCTCCTCCTCTTTATTTTCTATATAGCATTTAAAAATGCATAGTATCGTATGTTGTAGCTGGGGCTTATGGTGGATGAGGGAATCTAGATGAGATGCTTGTAGTTTGGAGGATCCCAGTAGGATTCATGGAGGATGGGGGCTTTAGAGCTGCTTATGGAGCGAATGGACCAGGGGTGGGCAAACTTTTTGGCCCGAGGGCCACATTGGGGTTACAAAAGTATATGGAGGGCCGGATAGGAAAGGCTGTGCCTTCCCCAAACAACCTGGCCCTCGCCCCCATCCGACGCCTCCCACTTCCCGCCCCCTCACTGTCCCCCTCAGAACCCCTGACTCATCCTAACCCCACCCTGCTCCTTGTCCCCTAACTGCACCCGGGACCCCACCCCATCCAGCCCCCCTGCTACCTCTCCCCTGACTGCCCCGACCCCTATCCACACCCCTGCTCCTTGACTGGCCCCCCGGGACCGCACGCCTATCCAACCCCCACTGTTCCCCATCCCCTGACCTCTATCCACACACCCCGTCCCCTGACTGCCCCCCCAGAACCTCTGCCCCATCCAACCGCCCTCT